GTAGGCTTTTTTGCACTAGTTATTGCTTTTGTAATATGTAATTTAAACACTTTGTAAAACTATACATTTTAAGTTTAACACAACATATTAAAATATACAGGCTACATGTTTTCTTTTTGGGCTACATGTTGTAGAGACCTATATAATTGCAGAGTTTAGCTTTAACCCTCAAACATAGGCTTTTTTTCTTTGGGTTTGTTAAAGGGGTCATATGATGCGATTACAATTTTTAGTTTCTCTTTGGAGTGTTACAAGCTCGTGGTGCATAAAGATCTGTAAAGTTGCAAAGACTAAAGTCTCAAATCCAAAGAGATATTCTTTATAAAAGTTAAGAGTCAGCCACACCTACCTAAAACAGCTCGTTCTAAAACGCCCCCACATATCTACGTCACGATGTGGGAAGATTTGCATAACGCCGCCCAAATGTTCACGCAAAGAAAGAAGGCGTAACTTTTATTCTCGCTGTAGTATTGTTGTTGCCGCCGCCATGCTGTGAATGCGCTGTGTTTCGTTGTGAAAGCGAAACTACTTTGGTTGGCCTTTCAAAAGAGGATGATATCCGCTTCGTCATGCATGGTGCTGGTCGCTGAGGAAATACACCAACTTCGCGCTGTCGATTGCCGGATCGGCTTTCACCATGGACGAAGTGGAGTCCTGGGGTCGTCACATGTGCTTGTCGCTAGCCCGCCGGATGCTCCTTCGTCGAATCCGCCGGCCACGCCATTCTCAAGCCCGCCCGCCGCTGCTCACTCAAGCCGGCCTCCGCTCACTCTAGGCCGCGGTGTGTGACGCTGTTTTGTTGTGAAAGCGGAAACTTTGTTTGACCTTCCAAAAGAGGACACGACTAGAAATCAGTGGTTAAGTTGTATTTACAACACTGTTCCAGAACCCAAATATTCAGATGTGTCCAGCGCATTTTATGCAGGACTGTTTCCTGATCCTGGGAGAGTAGACTACAATGCCGGCTGTCAGACAGTAAGTACGTTTTTTTATATATAAAAAAAATTGCCAATGACGATTCAAACGCAAGTTTTTTGGGCAGTGTAGAGTAGCACTTGTTGTCTGTCATTTCTCCGATCACAAATGCAGACATGGTTTTATGTTTGTAAAAAGACAGTATAAGTCATTATAATCCGTAATTATGTCCCCACTGGATGCAATAAATGCCTCGTTTATAGTGGGTTTTCATGTTTTTGTCTCGTTGCTCCGGCCGGACAGGGAATCACAATATGGTGAGGGGCGTAACATTTCCGTCACACGCTTGAGGTATTCGGCCAATCACAACGCATTGGATAGCTGGCCAGTCAGAGGACACCTCGCTTTTCAGACCGATGAGCTTTGTAAAAATCTACGCGTTTCAGAAAGGCGGGGCATAGAGGAGAAGCAATAATGTACAGTAAGTGGAACACATGTGTTTTTTAACCTTAAACCGCATAAATACATTTCATTACACCAAATACACAAAATAATGTTATTTTTAGCAGCATCATATGACCCCTTTAATGGCTGAGGTTTAGGGCGGCACAGCGGCTCAGTAGGTAGCACTGTTGGGTACCCAACAAGATCCCCAACTTGAGTTCTGGCTGATCTATTATTATTTCCCCCGTGTGTGCTATTTCATCTACAGTCAAAAAACATCTTAGACACTAAAATACTTGAAGGCACTAAATTATCCATAGGTTATGAATGTGTGTTTCCCTGCCTATGGTTGAGATTCTGCTTTGGCATTGGGTTAGATGTTACTTAGATTTAGTGTTGATAAAGTTTACTTGATAACTGATATTCTGTCCTAGTTCATGGCTGGTTAGATGTTATTAACTGACTGGAACATGGGCCAGTTATTGTGTGGCCCTTTTCTGTATCCCTAGGGCCATATTCACCAGAAATCATATGGCTAAAAGTTACTCCTAATGTGGAAATTTAGGAGTAGGAGCAAAAATTAGGGATGTCCTGCTCCTAATTTTAGGATTTGTAAAGTTTTCACCCAAGGGTAATTCACCAAACTGAAAGTAGCTCCTGATCTCAGAACATCTATATTGCACTGAAGCATGCTTGCTCGTCAATCTGCATCTCAACCAAGTAAATATACTGGAATATTAAAATGACATCAAACTTTTAATAAGTTATTGGCCTAATCACAAAAATTGTCTTCTTAGTGTTGTCTTCCTTTTTTCTGTTTTATCCATTGAAGTATGCTTTCATTGATAAGGGGCAACTGAACATAATTAACCATAGGTATGTAACCATTACCTGATTATGTTGTGTTTGTATTTCATATAGTATATCGGTCCTTCCTGCTGTTTGCCTGCTTTGCTTCATTACCAATGGCGAATCATAGCAGGATGAATTAAAAGAGCATGTTCATAGAAAGGGACATAATCCAGAGCAACATGGTCAACCCTGCCTTACTCTTACATTAAAAATCCCTTAGCAAAACATATTCTTAAGAGTTTTGTAAATCGGTTTTAAGCTGAAAGTCTCAGCTAGAAACTCTTAGGAAGACAGCTAGTGGTAAAATGAAAATCTTTGTAAATACACCCCCAGATATTGACTAAAAAAGGGTCATTATTCTGTGCTGTAAGTGGGTCGAGAGAAAACTGGCTGTGTGGACCAGTTTTGACAGGTAACTGTCTGAATATTATAGGCCCAAAAAGCCCAAAAAATACAACTTAAAAAATAAAAATAAAAGTAAACTTGTGAAGACATTGGAACTTCTTTTTGATGTTGTTTGTTTGAATAGCCATCTATGATATGGTGACCACCTGATTATTTCTTGGTTGCAGGACAGTAGATGTTATCTTCTGGGAGACGTGTGTGAGAGATTCATTTACTACTATTATACTATGTAATTATTGATTTACATTAGCTGTAAAGCATAGGCGGATGGTGCACCAACTTGGGTAAGGCTAAAAGTAGCCTAATGTTAGTGTTATATAATTAACTACGCACGTAACATTTTTTAGGCAAGTACCAGATATGAGTGTCATGAAATATGTTTAATATGTCTGAATTCATATTTAATGTTATCACAATTTCATAAAACATTCTAAGTTACTAATTAGCATTTTTATTCATACGGTTATTCAAACAGCTAATTAATTATATACAGAAAGCAAGCAAAGAACATCATCAAAGAACTATGTGACTGGCTTCAGTCTAGTGCGAGTTTAAGTGCCAAAACAAAGATCCCATAATAATGAATCTCTTATATCACGGTACATCTGCACTCTCGTTTATTATAAGAGAATTCACAAAAGTGCGGAATTCAGTCAGCGAGTGCATGCGCTGAACAAAACTTGTTTCAGCGATGACTAATCTCAATGCCTCTGATTGGCCATTGCATTCATAAGCTCAACAGAATCTTGTGTGATTGGTTATAATGCCCAACACTGTAAAAAATGTGTCAAAAGAAATATAAAGCAGATCTCCACTTTTCATTTTCACTTTATAACTTTATAACAGTAGTAATAAATTTAGCTTAATTGTGTGGCCATTCGAATGATACAATGTACTTTTACTTTACGGGACCTATTTAGTCTACTAAATAGAATGTGTTGGCTGGTTGTTTCCCCACTCTAGTTAGAAAATGACAGCTGTGCAAATGTATTTTTAAATGCCAATCTTTTTAGTATTTTATGATTTATTGTGGTATTGTAATTTCAGGGAAGAAAAAAAACCCATACAGACGTAAAATGCGGGACACTGATTACGTCTTGTGAGATGCGGGGCAAAGCTCCCAATTTCATGACTATCACCCTAAGAAGACAGTTGTTGGTTAGCAGTAAGATGGCTATAACATATACAGTCAGTAGCTAACTGGAAGTAGCCAAACTGTTACCCAAATTATATAACCACATTTTATAATTGATTTGATCTTTGTCTGAGGTCACTCATTTGAGACTATGCAAAAATGTGACATGCTAGATGTATGCCAATAGTAAAAAAAAAAAAAAACAACGTCTTAACTGTACGTTGAGCATGCTGTGACATAAACAAACAAACAAACAAACACCCTGGTTGACCAGTTAATTACAGAAAGACAGACACATTATATCCAGAACTACAGGCAGTTTAGAATCTCTAATTCACATGACCTGCATGTCTTCATGTCTTCAGACTGTGAGGGAAACTGTATAGAAAACCCACAGCAACATGGGGAGAACATACAAACTTTTTATGATTTACAATTTTTGAACAGTAAAATCATATCAGTTACATTTCTGTATAGTATGTCCTTGTGCATGACGCTAAGCAGTGTTCCCTGTGAGCCTTGTCATTCTCAATCCATTCCTGCAGGTGCTCCACATAAGACATTATATTTCTCTCAGTTTATGAATAGACAAGAAGTGAATACAAATATATCTGGGGGAAAAAAATCTTCTTTTGGGTGCCTTTGACAAGAATGCTCCCAAAAATATGAAGGTTTCTCTTAGATTTTCATTACTGGATTACATATTATGTAGCCCTTGCTTTTTTAAGGAGAAATGACTTGGGTAAACAAAGTGTATTACATAAAGCTATGCATTCATATAGTTTCCTCACTGGACATTTAAATTAAAGATAATGCCTTAAAATGTTCAGTTAAGTTGTTTCTTAGCAAAAACAGCCGCGGCGTAGAGCTTTTAAAATGTTAGCAACAAAATGAATAGATTTTTTAACTAACCATGAACAATTGTAATAGCATACAAAAACAAATCCTACAAACCACAGATTATATAACAATATTTCTGGCTGTAAAACAGCTGAAAACTGTAAAACATATAGTTATGGATGAACATGAATTTAATTAAATATCGATGTACCATGTAACAAATCATTTGTAGAAAAAAATCTTTATTGTAATTAATATTATTTTAAGGTGCTGCCATAATTTTATAAAATCAATAGGCCAGTTAGGGGTGTGCATTGCAGATTTTACTGTGGTTAACTGGGGCACTCCATTAAACCAACAAGCATTCTAAAACACAGAAAGTGTTGAGTCTTTTGAATTACTGAAATAGTCACTTAGATATTCCTACTTTTTTCTTGAAAAACAGTCGAATAACTTGCTGGCGTACTGTTGTCAGATTTAATCCATAAATAAGAGGATTTAAAATGGGTGGTATGAGTAGGAATTCCAGGGCCATAAAATTACGCACACCTTGTGGCAGATTCTTTGAGCCATAACGACTGTACAGTACATCAAACAAAAATGCAATAGTCACGTTGATCAGTGAAAGCAAATGTGGAATACATGTTTGTATAAATTTGCGCCTGCCCTCTATTGACTTAATGCAGTTTTGTATCAACTGAAAATAGGAGAAATATATCAATACACCATGGCCGATGTATACAAGAATAACAGTGTACCCAAACACATTATTTACTGTTGTAGAAAAACAAGAAAGTTTTGCAACTGCCCAAATCTCACAATATAACTTTTCAATAGTAGAGCCGCATAAAGTGAGTCTAGCTGTTAATACAATTAGAACAGAGATGAAAAAAATGGGGGCCAGCCAGCATAAAAGGATCCATTCAAGAACCTTCTGATTTGTCATTACTGAATGATACTCCAGTGGTCTGCATATTGCCACATACCTGTCATATGCCATTACCGTTAATGTTGAAATTTCACACAGGGCAAATGAATAAATGACAAATATCTGAATCATACATCCAGAATAAGAAATCACATGATCTTCAGCTAATAAATCATACATGAATTTAGGGTAGAATCCAGCAGTGCCATAAAGTGCATTTATACACAAATTGCATATAAACATATACATCGGCTCGTGAAGCTTCTTATATGAGATTATAGTGAAAATTACAGTTACATTACAAAACACCATAAGAGGATAAAACAGGGCAGTGAAAGAAAAAAACACAAATCTGTTTTCCATTGTTTCATTAAGACCTGAGAGTGTAAATACTAAGACACTGGTCTCATTCTCCAGTGATGGTTGCACCTGGAATGATACCGGGTAATGGAATATCAAAATAAGTAAATATTTGTTTTTCTTTCTCCAGTTGCAAAACAATTGAAATCTTACCATGTTCTCTGTTGGCATGTTTCCTGTAGTGTTTTGTAAAGGTTCGATTTGGTTTGCTATATATGGACACTGGTCTCATGCTAATTGCCTTGTCCACAAACATTGAAAACTGTTTTAACAAGCTCTCTAAAGACTTTTTTCCTCTTTAGTTAAAATGACTGTCTGTATATGCCAATCTGTGCCTACAGGTTTTACTTCTGTACAGTTTAATTTGCCATTCATGTTTCAGCTAATATATCAGATCCAACAATACACAATTATGAAACCTGTAATACACAGTTTAACAACATGGTTGCTTTAGTTTGTTCAAAAGGAATGTAATCCTGTATTATGTTTACCTGGTTTCCTGCACAAATAAGTCATACAATTGGATCTCATGTTTAATTGTTCTGTTGTCACAACAATAGGAAAAATGTGCTGTTTAAAAAAAATTGCTCCATTTTTGTCTGCAAGCTCAGACTGTGTGTGGGAAACAGGCCTTTTACAGGATCCCATTGTCCAGTTGGAATATATTATGAAATTATATTGACTGGGTACATAAGAATCAACTCTAACAGAGTTGTAACTTGTAACTTGTTATCATGGCCCTTGTCATACAGACCAGAGCTAGACGCAAGCTCACAATCAGATGAGTAAAAAATATTTTTTTTCTAAAGACAGAAAGAAAAGAAAAAGTCAAACCTTTATGTGTAGTCTTTCATAAAAAAGTAAATAAAATATTAATACTTCTACACTGTCATCATTATCTGTTGGGCATACATTTTTTGAAATTGAGATTAATTTTGTTGCATTTGCATTCATTTTGGTGATCTGAAAAATGTGTTTGCTGAGAAGATGTGTGACCAGACATGTGAAGCTTAAAGCATCACAAATTGACCTCTTTGCTGAAAATCAAAGATGGAGGAAGCACTTATTGTCACACAATTCTGTTTTATATGACAACGTTTACAAGACTATAGATATTAATAAAATTAAAGAGAAGTTGCATGGTTTATGGAGTTGCCAGAAACAGGAGCAGATGTTGTACAGTGAAATATTTATCTGCAAGACTCCACATGTCCTCTGAAATATGTTATTGCTGTAACATTGTTACATAAAGATGTCTACATTACATGTTGTACAGTATTTTTTCCCTGACTTTTACTCTTAGTTTTTACAATACCGTATAAAACTATTTAAAGGGGTCATATGATGCTGCTAAAAATAACATTATTTTATGTATTTGGTGTAATGAAATGTGTTCATGTGGTTTAAGGTTAAAAAAACACATTATTTTCCACATACTGTATATTATTGTTTCTCCTCTATGCCCCGCCTTTCTGAAACGTGTCGATTTTTACAAAGCTCATCGGACTGAAAAGCGAGGTGTGCTCTGATTGGCCAGCTATCCAGTACGTTGTGATTGGCTGAATTCCTCAAGCGTGTGACGGAAATGTTATGCCCCTCACCATACTGTGATGGTCAAATCGGCTGGAGTGATGAGACAAAAACATTAAAATCCATTATAAACGAGGCATTTGTTGCATCCAGTGAGGACATAATTATAGATTATAATGACTTATACTGTCTTTTTACGCGTTGCGTTCCATCGCGCCACGTAAACATAAAACCATGTCTGCATTTGTGATCTGAGAGATGACAAACAACAAGTGCAACTCTACACTGCCCAAAAAACTCATGTTTGAATCGTCAGTGGCAAATTCTTTAAATATAAAAAACGTACTTACAGTCTGTGAGTCAGAAGAGCCAGCATTGTAGTCTACTCTATCAGGATAAAAAAAACTTACTTACAGTCTGTGAGTCAGAACAGCCAGCATTGTAGTCTACTCTATCAGGATCAGGAAACAGTCCTCCATAAAATGCGCTGGACACATCTGAATATTTGGGTTAAACTGTTCTGGAACAGTGTTGTAAATACAACTTAACCACTGATTTCTTGTCGTGCCCTTTTGGAAGGTCAAAGTAGTTTCGCTTTCACAACAAAACAATGTCACACACCTTGAGTGAACACAGCCTTGAGTGAACAGAGGCCAGAGGCCTAGAGTGAGCGGCGGACTAGAGTATGCAGAGGCCGGCTTGAGTGAGCAGAGGGGGACGGGCTTGAGAACAGCGCGGCCGGCGGATTCGACGACTGGCGGGCTTGCGGCAATCACATGTGACAACCCCGGGCTGGATTCCGCTTCGTCCACGGTGAAAGCCGATCCGGCGATCGAGAACGCAAAATTTATGCATTTCCTCAGCGACCAGCACGGATCAGCTCCAGGCATGACGAAGAGGATATCGTCCTCTTTTGGAAGGCCAAACAAAGTAGTTTCGCTTTCACAACGAAACACACAGTGCCTTCACTACATGGCGGCGGCGGCAACAGCAATACTACAGCGAGAATAAAAGTCACGCCTTCTTTCTTTGCATGAACATTTGGGCGGCATTATGCAAATCTTCCCACATCGTGACATAGACATGTTGGGGCGTGTTAAAACGAGCCGTTTTAGGTAGGCGTGGTTGACTCTTAACTTTTATAAAGAATATCTCTTTGGATTTGAGACTTTAGTCTTTGCAACTTTACAGATCTTCTTTATGCACCAAGAGCTTGTATCACTCCAAAGAGAAAGGAACAATTTTAATCGCATGACCTGTTTAAAAAGCTTCTTTTTTTTTTTACAATTATTATTTATGCAACTTTTATGAGCTCATGCTAATTGCTTAGACTATGTGGAATAAAAAAATAAATAAAAATACAATTCCAGAATCTTGGATAAATATGCCCATGGACATGTTATACAATATATCAACTATACATATAGATACCAGCAGCAAGGACTCTGTCACAAAAACGTTGCAATATTCTCTCTTATATTTCTGCTTGTCCATCAGTGTCACCACAGTGGCATGATTTTATTTATTGACCAGTTTGTGGCCCACATATGAAAATGTCCAGCAAATACCAGGAAGGAGGATGACTAGCAGTCAGGTCAGCAGTGCAGGCCCCTCCTTCAGTTTCCAACAGCAGGCATATCTGCCACATCCCAATAGCACGCATTAGCATCAGGCCCATAATTCAGGCGCAAGCTTTTGGTTCCTAAGTATAGCAAGTTCCCTTTCATGGGAACTTCGAACTGCATCCTCTAGGGGTAGCTATGGGGAACGCCTCGTCGTGACCCGTGTCTGAAGCATACATTGAAAAAACACCAACTCGTTGGCCGGCGACAGCCATGACGTCACTACAAGTGCGACTATAGTATAAATAGGCTCCGGGAGCACACATCATTCTCTTCTTCGTCTTCATTGACTGTTTTGTTTGAAGCGTGCATTTCTATGGTAAGAGCGATCTCTATTCATCTCATTATGGCGAGCACTAGCAAAGCATTTAAGGATGTGTGCATCCGTGTTGACGTTGTTTAACATCTCATGACAAACATGATCTATGCGTTATTTGTTTGGGTGAAGAGCATGCACGCGATGCCTCCGAAGGGGTAATCGCTGTGCACTGCGAGCGTTTTTTCCAAGGGAAAAAGCTCCGCTCTCGTTTGTCTCTCT